TTGGGGTCGTTTCTAATGTCCAAATTCACCAACTTACCTTTAGCAGGTACGATATTTCTCCCGGCGGGCGGGGAAGGAATTCCCTCCGAATAGTTTGCCATCGCCTGCTCCGTCTCGTCTCGGCGAGAGTGTACTGTAACCTAACCTAACCTAAATAACCTAACCTAACCTAACCTAACCTAACCAAACCTAACCAAACCTAACCTAACCTAACCTAAAGCTGCCTGAAACAATCACAGCTTAAACAGTACTATTTAGGGCTAAGCAGTACACTCTCGCCGAGACGAGACGGAGCAGGCGAGGGCAAACTACAGTATTCGGAATTCCTTCCCCGCCCGCCGGGAGAAATATCGTACCTGCTCCAGGTAGAAAGTTTTGGACATTAGAAACGACCCCAAAAATGTTGGTGAATTTGGACGTAGCCGTTAGTCATCACCCACTAAGTAGTAAGTAGTGGTAGTTTTATCATCCACTAAGTGGTTGGTCGAATAGATAAAGCTGGTCCCCAATCGTTCAATCAAAGCAATATTAAGTTGGTTTAATATTTGTTTCGAGAACTCTAAACTCTACTACTATCAACCTTAACATCGTAGAAATAACATTCATTGAATTAATCACGAAAGATATCTTCAATAGTTACTGAACTAATTATACAAAGCACTCCTCACCTTAGAAACCAAGTGAACCAGCATATTGAGTCCCTTTTTTCCGGGATATTTTCCCGCGGTATTTGCCGGACTGAGGTCGAACAAGACACTTCCAGTCTCTGTAGCAATAGCATCAACCAGCATTCTCTTGCCGCAGTCCGGATACCCTGCTAGCAGGAGAGAGCGTACCAGAGGGGCTGACCTATGCACAGTTACAGACCCCAAGGGTAGGATGGCGTACTCCTTCACCACCTGGCCAAGATATACATGATAAACAAGTGAAAAGTGTTGAAGGTACCATCGGAGGAGATTTCAATAAAAAATTAAGTTCAAGCTTTGACTATTGATAATTCTGTATCCAATGGTTACAGAATGGCCAACCTGATTTGAACTGATTTAAATTATGGCGGTAATTATCATACCATCCAACTAATTGCCGAGATTGATATTAATATGAAAGTAAGCAATGTCATATAAATGCTATTACCTGCTTTACATCCCAAAGGTTTGGTTGCGAGTTTTGCCACCAAGGCTCCCGCCTGAGATCATAATTGTTCCAAGACGGATCACAGAAAAACGAGTCAATCTGTATGTCCTGGCTCTTCTTTACTATTCCGTTTTCGACCAGTTCGCGAAAGAGAGACTCTTCTGTCCTGTCATGTGTTAGATCTTTTTTCTCCTTCTTTTTCTTAGGCTTCTTCTTTTTCTTCTTTTTTGCACCTCCCTTCTTTTTCTTTCCTAAAACACTTACTAGAATGAACAATTTAAACTTTCATTATATAAAATCGCATATTCTTCAAATGAAAACATATTGTTTAAATTCAACTGATGTCATTGCCAAGGCTGTAAGATTAACAATAACTTAATTTCAACCTCAGTCTGTTTTTGCTTAAATAATTTGACTCAAAAGTTGAAGAAAGTTATATCTATGTTTCAAGAACATAGGATTAACGTAATTCTAAATACCTTGTGTGTCTGGTGTTGGTTGTAAAGATTTGTCTGTTTAAGACGCGCAAAGCATTTTAAACTCAAACAATTATAAAATTACCTCTATCTTTGTTAAGAGCTGATTGAAGACGTTCTATTTCCATTCTCATAAGCTCGTCGACTACTTCTCTTAACTCGTTGTGTTGATCATAAACAATCTGCGTTCTAGGCAGATCATCCCTGTGTGTCTGATTTGGGTTGGATTCAAGATCGTCAAACCCATTCCACTGAGCGTTGGATTTGTCTAAATGCCTAGTAAAAGGATCCAGCAGATCTGTAGGATTCGGTACAACTCCTCTTTTTAATTTTTCTTCCAGCACCTTCTTTTTCACTTCGTTCTCTAAACGTTTCTTTTCCTTCTCCTGTAACGACCGTAATTAAATTAAAGACAGTAGGCGAAGAATACCCAAAAATAACCAAATTTAAATCTTCTTTGAGGGGGGGGGGTTTGTAATTTCTGATGCAGCTAGGGCAGAATATTAGAATGTTACACCAATGATACATAATATGTTAGATCTAGGGGCTACTTCTACATTTCTTAGCGAATGTAGATCATTCTATTTACCTCAGCTTTCTTCTCTTTGAGTTGCTGCTTGGTAAGTTTCTCTTTCTTCTGTGACTCCTTCCCCCCAGCCTTTCCCTTAGCCAGTCTGGCGGCCGTGTGTGCTAGGTCCCAGAGGTCCGGGTCAACCCAAAATCCGGCCACAAGAAGGGCGGAGCCCCCGAGCAAGTGTGGAGGAAGACCGGGATACATTTCTCGATGTCCCGGCGTCACCTTGGTCATTCTCTTGATAAAATCCTCCGGGGTGTCTGTTAGGGAACAGTAAAGAATAATGTTTATAAAAAATAAGCACTGCCAACAATATGGATAAATAGGTAAATGCTAATTCCATCTAAGCCATAATATTTTTTGCATGTTCTATATGCTTCTTGCACATCACTTTGCTACACTATCGGCATTCCAAAATGGTCTGGGTATCCGAATGGTTTATATGTAGTGCTCACCATCAAATCTAAAGATTGCAGCTTCGATTTCAAGCTAGGTTATCCTGGACCCAGATGCCATTTGTTATTTGGCTATGAATAGTTTAAATTTTTAACAAACATGAGATACTAGACAGTACAGCGTACAATATTCAGCAATTTCTAACCTGTTTGAATCAAATGCTATAGGGACACAAAATATACGAAAAATGCGTGATACAATCATTTTAAGTTAAGGATCATCCGTTTACAAGGCCAAATAGTTATACTTTGTCTTTAAAGTAGAATTTAGAATCACCTTTAGGCCATCCAAGCATGCCTTCTGGTTCATCTATCTTAGCCGCCGCTGGGAAGTCAGGGAGCTCGCCGATTCTGCGGTACCAGTCCTGGATGTACCAACGGAGGTGGTCTGCGATGTCATCCTTGACGTCGTCAGCACCGCGACAAACCTCGACCTTCAGTTGCTGCAGTGCCGCTTCGTACTCTTCATCGGCGACCTTCTGCAGCTCGTGGCGATGGTTATTCACGGCGAGCATCTTGTCCTTCTCGGCGTGCGGGCGCCAGCTAGGAGTCAGCTCTCCTATCAATTGAAATATGTGTTTAAGCATAGGCTTGTTAATATATTAGTCTAAATCCAGGTAGCGATCAGCTACCTGGAGCTACTTTTGGATTGGCAGAAATATTTGACAATAAGTTTAACTGTATGAAATGGTGTATAATGGAAACCCCCTCATGCTTTAGAGTTCTTGAATATTTAACTGGTAAAGGAATACAAGCTCATACGAGCTCATATTTATAAATCAAGGACTATTTTTTGAAAAAGAAACATTTAGAGATCGAAGTGAAAAAGAAGGCGATGGAAGAAAATCTAAAAGAGGAGTTGTACAAAACCCTATAGACCTGCTGGATCCTTTTACATTATAAGGTAGGCTTCAACGGGCAAAGTGAACTATCAAATCACCACGTCGTTGAACTAGAGTTACTGACTTTTGTTTCGGATCAAGCTCCTGGACTCAACTTGATGCGAAACACCCGAAACGTCGACCCATTTTAGCCACTATTAGGCCAAGATTCCTTCAGTTACAAAAATATCTGTAAATGCTCACTGCTCACCCATTAGCAGCCTGTTCCCCGTCATGTGACTCCACGCGCGATGCTTGGCCACGTATCCTCTCCAGAATCTCTGTATCTTATCTACAGACCGCTCCTGTACATCCTGAGGGATAGGTTGGTACACGTGCCAAGCAATGTCTCTCTGGATACGCTGCTTCTCTTTCACTGCAACCCAAAATTGAATTAACCCAGTGTACATGGTCATTGGTGGTAGGTTTATAACTGTTCCTATTGTCTCATCAAATTCTGTCCCTTTGATCGTACTACCTACCTTAGTAAACTCTAGGTATTTACATGCTTTTTGAATGAAAGGGGTACTGCTAGTATGTGTTATCTATGCTAGTAGTTAGCGCCTCATAATAAGGTGCGGAAGGTCGAAGGGCCGATTTCCCTTAAAAGCATTTTAAATTATTTAACCCAATACGGAACTTGCGTAAACATTAAAAAGAAATGCAACATACTTTTCACTTGAATTTCCTAATTAAAATACTTACATTCCTGAGTTTGAAGACGTGCTACTCTTGCCCGTTCGTGTCTTTGGATCAACCCAATCATACTTTTGAAAAGCTGAAAAAATTCAACGACTAAGTATGAATGAAATAATAATGTATGTACCTATTTAATTTGGAAATGCAAAACTCGATAACATTTCAGCAAAAAATTAACGATTTGTTTTTTTACTTTTTACCTTCAAATGTTACCAAAAAGCTATTGTTGTTTAATAAGTACGCTTTCATACAGTATTACATACTCAACTTTTCGGAATCATGAAAACAATACAAACTAGTCAACGTGGGTCAGATTTAGCAATATAATATAATTAATAGTCAAAGGTTATATGCATGCATTTATTAATGTCATTTTATTAACAGTTACCTTTTGTGATTCCGTAAGTTCAACCGTTTTGAATGAAGGGGGTCTGTTACGTATTTTTTTCATCCGCTCTTCCTCTTTCTCGGCTTCCCTTGCAGCCGCTTGTTTTATTTTCAAAGCACTTCCTTGACTAATTGTATCCACTTCTTCATCTGGGACCTCTTCTCCCTTTTGGCTCTTTTCTTCCTCCGAAGCCATATCAAGATTATCCTCATCAACTTCAACTGGCAAAGATGTTTCTAAAAGAGAAGATTGATATGTATATATGCGACAAGGCTATAATAATAATATAGTAATATAATCACTTTTTAACTGGATTTTGGGTTTTTAAATAGAGTCTAGGTACAGTATGTGATTTAGGTTTGTTCTGTAACCTTGTATAGGCAAGAGACGATCTTACCCTGGAATATATTTTGGACCGTAGTAATCTGTATAATTAGAAAATACTGTACCAAGTTCCTCCAGAATGGCATCTATGTCGTTGTTGATCTTCGCTATCTTCTCGGCCCTCTCACGTCTGTAGTACCTTGGTACTTGGCACTCCACGTCGTAGGGAGTCAATCTCATGTCAGCTAACACCCCGTCAAGATAGCTGCAATATAGGAGTTTTTAGGGACTTGGCTGTATGGCTTCAAATTTCAAAATAACCAGCTACCCCTATAGTTAAGCCAATTAACTACTAATTTAGTTAAGCCAATTTTATCAGCGTAAAACAACTTTTAAATTCTAATTAGTTCAAAAAATGACCGCATCCGCTGAGTGGATATTAACGGTTTTAATTCCATCCTCGGAAAAATTTAATCGATGGGGATGTATCACTTAGGTGTTCAAAGATTGTATTCTTAAAATATCATTAGTTCAAAATTTTAGTTTTTAAGTGATAAGGGGGTTATAAATGCAGTAAGGGCACATATTTTGTGTATTTTTAGTACTAGCTCAATTTTAGGTCGTGGCTTCACCCGACTAACTACAACTCGTATGAATAAGAGCAACTTTGGCCATCGTGATCAAATATACCATCAGTTTACCATGTGAGTGACTAAAATAAAGAAATTTCGTACTCAAGACTATTCTATACCACTAAAATTTCGCATATACTTTTTATGTTTTTATACAAAGAAAATCCAAGTTCCTTAATTTTTCCTGTACACAAATTAAAATTCAACCACTTGTGCTGTAGTCTGTTGGTTTATTTTTATTTTCAAACGTATTGCACAATCTACCTACTACTTACACGCACCAAACACCTTTACATGAACCTGTCGCTGCAACTTCTTTTTCTACTACGTGAGATATGGCTGCCAATTACTTGCACCGTAAATCCCACCTTAACTCAAAATTGGGCTACTTTAATGCATGTCGAACATGAAATTACGATTCGCTGGTCGAGGGAAGTGCAACTGTTGTAAATCAAAAACGTAAATTTATGTATGCAAAGGCAACACATCTGCCAACCATTTCTTGGTAGGAAACCATAATTTACACCTCGCAATAACAACCAATTATGATGTTTTATTTGAGTTTAAAGCTCAAATTTCCCTTGTGTTTTACCGATATTATACGTTGAAAAAACATTTATAATCCTGTAAACTTTTCAATTGGTTGATTTTTGTCACTACAAGACGGTAATACACTGGATATGAATGCAGAGTGAGTGTCGAATGAAGTGGATGATCTTTTTTTCTTACCAACTAAAATATTCTGCTCTTAGCCAGGATCCGAGACAGCTCGATCAAGTTTTAAACTATTAATATCCTACTTATTCTTCTCAGGATCTAATCTGCAACCGTTCGAAGACAACGGAAGACAATTAAGCATTCACCCTCTTAACCCCGAAATGTTCTATTTCCCGTCAATAAAATGTTTTACCTGAACGTAAACCCATATTAAGCAGTAAGCACATCAAGGATGAGCAAATATAGCGATATACAAGAATGGTGGAGGTCAGCATCGAGTGCATGAATTGACTCTGTCTGAATTCCCGTCCAAAAAGGTCTTTGGTCTGTAGATAAAACACATTAAGGCCAAAAAAAAAAAATTCTAAAATTTCTAAAAACTGTTGATTCGTTACTTAAGAAACCCAAGAGAATAATAAGTGAAGAATGGTGGAAGTACTACCGAACCTACAATACTTGTATCATAACACCTATTGCGATTAATGCTCATCTAATTACAATTAGTATCTTGTAATAAGATGCTGCTACAAATAATGTCCAAAATCAATTTTTTGTTAGGTACGTAAAAAGCTAGTCATAAAAACAAGCATAGATTAATCTACGGTGCTTTAAGAAACAGAAAACACCCTCACTTGAAGTCAGAAAGTTCTTGATTGACCAGTTCTTGCTTGACTTGAAGCATTCTTGATATAGTCGCTTCCAAAAGCGTCCGAACAGTTATCCTTTTATTGGCGTGAACCATCTGGTCAAGGCAAATGTTTAGTTTGTTTGCACACCGAGTATACCTGGAAAATTGACATTTAATTGCAGCATTAGACTTGGAAGAGGACACTTGCGACACTTTAAAAACACATATTTTTTGTTGATTTCTAATTCTACATTAGCTTCTTAAAGATTTCCAACACTTTTTGGGACACTGTCCTTCGCGAAGCTGGGCAGGGAATGGGAATGGAATCTTTAATTAACCTAAGTTGCGTGAAGGTCAACTCTTGTAGGTAATTGCAAAAACATGTTACTAGGTTCTCTATACATTATTTATGTCCCCATAAAAAGGTAGGTAGTTAGTATGACTAAATTTTATTATAAAAATATTTAGGCCTAGCCTATTTACAACGACATTGGGGAGCGAGCTGGTCTATAGTGGTTAGGGCAAGGGATTCCGGTCCCTGAGGGACTGGGTTCAAATCTCGTCAAGTCACCAATGATTTTAACTAATTGGTAATGCTGCAATTCCTAGGTCTAGCCTGAAGTAATGTGAAAAACAATTCTGGATTCGTGTGTACAACAACGTTATGCAAAGGCCTACCTGATATAATTTGTCGCAGCCTGCTTGAATGCCTTTGGTCTGTCCTCTATCACATCTTGAGCCACGTACTCCTTGTCATCTCTCAGGATATCAGCCAACTCCCCCTCCACCTCCCTCCAGTGCGTCTCGTACATTCTGTGTGACATGTCAACGTCTCCGCAGAACACCCACTAGATCGTGGATGTAAGGGTCCAGCTGGTGATCTGACAACCTCTTAGTCCAGTAGTCTCCAGGACAGGTGCAGTGGTCTTGGGTCCTGATGGCTCTCCTCAGTCTACTCTCAAACCTTGCAAGAAACTCGCTACTGGTCGCCCTAGGTGAGAGACGGGATATCTCTTCAAGTAAATTAGTCAGTGATCCTGTTGGAGCCGAATCAAAAGTAGTCCTCGGACGGATACCCTCTTCTTCACACTTCTTGAAGAAGGTTTCACAAAGAATCTTTTCCTCAGTCGCCCTAGGGGTGGGTTCTTTGATCCGTTCCGGGTAAGAATATTTCTCAATTATCCTTCTCAGACCTTTCTTTCTTCTGGAAGTTTCAGATTCGCTTTCGTCACCTGATAGAATGTTTCTGTAGATTCTATCCAACTTCTTTGCTACTTTTCTCGGGTCCTTTTCCTCTGGGAGGGGTACGTAGACATAAACGCCTTTGTCGTCTTTCCCAACGGCGTTTTTCAAAAGAATTTCCTTTTGTTTCGGAGTAATAAAGAATTCAGATTTCAGTTTATCTATAACTTCATTCAACGAGTCTTCGTCCTTCAACGGGTTGAAAAAGTTGTGACCACGATTACAGCCTTCTGCTCTGTTACAGCAGGTGTTGAAATCTTTATTTTCCGACTGTGTGTGTTGAAGGTACCTACTCTGATATTTCTCTTGGCTGTCTACGTAATCTCCTTTATGGTATTGAACGTCGTGCCTGGCGTCCAAATTACCAACTCTTCTAAAGCCTTGACAAAATTCTCTGTAGTGTTTTCTGTGTTCCAATACGTTGTCGTGTTCTGACTGCGACCTAGTGTCAAAGTGTTGGCGATGGTTGATCTCTCGATGGTGAGGATTGAACGCAAGAGTATTATGTCTTTCTCCGCGCCCGTGAGGTACTCTTGAGCCTTCCCGTACGTCGGTGGACGAGTAAAGCTGTTTGCAGATCCTGGGGTGTCGATGGTGTCTTCCTCGTTCCCTATGATCCAGGGATTCTTCTACAATCCTCGGGTGGGGTGCTACCTCTTCTTGACTACTCTCTTCACTATCCTCCCTTACGAACCTTGCGTTCCTGTGCTTCACTCTGATCCTCGGGGAAGCGTGTTCCTGTAGATCCTCGTCATACAGTGAATGTTTGTACAACCTGTACTCCTGGAGTTCCTGTTCGTTTGGACGTCGCTTGTGGATCACCACTTGCCTCGTTCTCCTCGGTCTCCCTTCAGGGTCTACCAAGAAGTGAGGAGATACAGCCTCCACATGCCGCCGATGACGGTGTTCGGGTTTCTTTAGTCGAGAAATTTTGGAATTATTTTTCAAACACTTTTGTGTGAATCTAATATTTTCGGTCAATATCGTGAATATTCAACTAATAATCATAAATATATTAAAACCATCACATCCAATAATTATTACTTGATAATTTTACATAAACATTACGTTTCAACGTTAAATTTGAAATGAATCTACCACCAAATTTGTTTACACTATTTTGGATTTGTTTACATAATTTGCTAGAATAATTCTATCGGGGTTTATCAAAACATCTGTTGCTATAAATCATATAAACACGCGCTCCGGGCACTTTGGTGGTTTAGTTGGTCGGGAAATGTGTGTTAACTATCATTTAAGCCAGGTAAGCAAACAGCCCCCGGGTTATTGTTTCATATAACCTCGATACTTTCAGCTGCACCGCTTGTGAAACGTATATGCGATGTTTCACAGCATGTCAAGCTCGTTTGCAAAGGTTTTCGGACCAAATGTAAATGTGGACAGCTAATAAATCTGGGAAATCTATTTTGTCAGTCTTGTAAATATTTGTAATGTAATCCTTGGTCTTTGTTATAGGTGTAATTAAAAAGTTTTAATGAGCCAAAGTGTCTTTCATTTTTTATTTTTTGTTGTTTGTACTCTAGTGGTATTTTTATTGAACGAATCACAGCCACTTATAAGAGAAGATTGTCCAAACTAATTTTTCTATGGATATGCTTGGGATTGAACCGCCACTCTCACACTTTAGTTTTTGTATTTAAACGGTCATTAAATTCGGAGGTTCCTGCTTTAATTCGTTTCTATAAGCTCAAGTTTTTTATCATTGTTTAGTCAAATACTGTTTATTTACTAAATTATTTAGCATGTGTCAAATGTTTCTATCCTACTTGGGTCCAACTAATCTAGATGCGGACTACGGACCTGTTTAGTGAAAAACTAATGTAATTGGTTTCATTTACTTAAACAGTATGATGAATATATGTTAATAAATGTTAATGTTGATGTTATAAGTTAGAGGCTAGTCTTGAAAACTTGACTCAAAAGGCGTTTACGAACTTATAATAATGAACTATCTCTGTTAAGAATCAATTTTAAAATGTATAAGTTATATTTCACTGTATGTGACATTTGATTTGATATGTTTATAGATTTTTCTTGGTGTCGTTCGATAACAGTCAAAAACTGGTCTTAACATAATCTAACGTTAATCCGCTATGAACCACCATAGACTAATACCGTACCTTTGACTATTGATAGAACTAGACATACCATCGCTATGTTATAGTTGCTTTCTTTTATACCACTACAACTCAACAACAAAACTAAGGTAAGCCTAAATTTTACAAAAATAGAATTTTAGACACTAACGAAATCTATGACTGACTGGCTAAGCTTTATTCATGTTGTTAAACAAATTGGAAACAGGTGGTGCATATAAATGGGATGTACATTTTATTATCCAAAGGTTAATGGGACTTAATTTAATATGGTAACAAGCTCTTAGCCCATACAACGTACGGGAATCGAGTAGCCAGTTAAAATTGTGTTTAATTCAGAACAGCTAGTTATGCATTTGAAATCCGATAATTTGAAATCCCTGTAACGGTTCTTGGGAGCATAGCATTCAATTTGTATATACAGCAATGGTCTTACTTATCTCTGTGGTCTACTCATATTCTACCAATCTTGCTTGTTTCCTATAATCAATGACAAAATCATGGACTAAATAAAATAACCCCATAGTTCTCTAGAATATGTATATCCATCCAGCTGTTTGTTCAAACAAATTATATTGTAAAAAATAAAAATAAAGAACATTTATTTACGTTTATAACACGTGAACATTACCAACATCTTCACTTTTCCAAAATGTTTTTAAGTCAAGTTAACAGTTAAAAAGTGTCTATTTCTAATGTTATCTTTTCCTACGCGCACAATTTACTTTCTCCTCCCTTCCTTTTGAACAACTATACCCTTAAGTCATGTTACATTCTTCAGTTGGGATTGTTTCTTTAACTAAACGCTTTGGCCAATCGATAATGGAGGCAGCTCTGTGGTTCCTGTTATGAAAAGAAATGTTTAGAAACCAAATTTATATGGTTTTATTCAACTTAATAGTCAGCTACATTTTACATGAGAGAATTGCACAAAACTGTAAACATTACATACATAAACAAAACAGTCTTAAATAAAACAGCTGAATAAATATTTGACAGTACAAAAGGAATCATATTACATAACATTCACCCCATCTTTTTTTTAAATGTAATCCCTTAGATAGGTGGGAGGTCTTCGGACTCTAGTGGAACGACGCAGGTTTGTTTCTTCGTTATCCCTCACAGAAGTAGGGGTCACGGTCTCATGCAGAGGGGATGTTTCGATTTCAGATTGAATAGAGTTCCCAATTTCAGGTTGAAGCAGATTTGATTCACGTCTTAGGTCTTGAAGAGCAGGATCTAGTTCTTGACTGGGATTTTCCGAAGTCTCTGGCTCATCCTCTTGTTGGATAGCTTCAGGAGGAACAGCGAGATGTCGCACCGATACCAGAGCCTCTCTACCATCTCTATACTTGATGCGAGCATAGTCTGGATTAGCCTCTATCAGCTGAGCTTGTTCCACTAAAGGTTCATATTTGTTATTTCTTACATGCCTTCTCACTAATACTGGTCCTGGATTCATGAGCCATTGAGGTTGAGAGGTGCCATAAAATGATCGTCTCTGGTGTTTGAAAAGTCGTTCATGTGGGGTCTCATTCGTAGCTGTACATAGTAACGAGCGTATACAATGCAAAGCTTCTGGCAAAACATACTCCCACTGTTCTGTCTTCAGTCCCTTGTTTCTCAGAACAAGAGATACAGTCTTCCAAATCGTTCCATTATATCGCTCAGCTTGAGAATTACCTCGAGGGTTATAAGGTGAAGATCGGCTAGTGGCGATTCCTTTAGAGTGTAAGAAATCACTCAGTTCTTTTGACATGAAAGCAGAACCTTGGTCGGAGTGGACAAAAGCAGGCATACCAAAGATGGTGAAGATTGATGTAAGTGCTTTGATGACAGAAGATGCTGATGTGTCCGAGCAAGGAATAGCAAACGGATATCTTGAAAACTCATCAACAACCGTGAGTATGTATTTATTCCTTGTCACAGATGGTATTGGCCCCTTAAAATCAATGTTAAGTCTCTCGAAAGGAGCCATTGCATGGATGAGTGTTGATGGGGTTTTTTGGTAGAACCGAGGTTTCACTTCCGCACAAACAGAGCATGAAGCGGTCATTCGCCTGACATCTTCGATAGAGTAAGGGAGATTTTTACTTTTTAAGAAATGAACCATCCGTACTATTCCAGGATGCCCAATGTCACAATGAATTCTACGGAGTTTTTCGAAATCTCTACAAGAGATGGAAGATGAAACTCGTGAAAATGCATCTGCTACTACGTTTTCCTTGCCAGAACGGTACACTATGTCATAAGAGAAAGGTGCTAGTTCCAATCGCCACTTTAAAATCTTGTTGTTCTTAACCTTTCCCGCGTGTTTCTGATTGAACATATATGACACAGATTTCTGGTCTGTAATTAATTTAAACCGTCTTCCAATCAGGAAATGCCTCCATTTCTGTATTGAATCGAATATTGCGAGGGCCTCTTTTTCCACAGCAGGTAGATGTTGTTCA